TGTTTTTTGAACCTTAAACCGCATAAACATTGCATTACACCAAATACACAAAATAATGTTCTTTTTAGCAACATCATATGACCCCTTTAAACACGGTGTGTTTACATTTGACCAGCTACCATACCAGACATAACTTTAGTACTAACTTATATAAACCTTAAAAGTTACAAAGCAACCAACAGTACATTTGTAGGGAAAAATGTATAATTTGAAGCTGCAGTTTTTTTCTCTACAAGACCATAAGAAAGTTCATTTAGGAAGATTCCAGTTAGGTAGTTTTCTCTCAGTGATGCAAAATTATGTTGATGCTCCAGTTCTTAACCAGTTTGGCACAGATACACCAGCAGTGGGTTACTTTAACCAGCAGCTCAGAAGGTAGTTGAGGGGGTGTATCCTCTTTTTTCTTTGTCTATATAGTTTAGGGATGTTGGTAAATATGTCTGTGAAATATATTTATGCAATTGAAAATACTGTACCACAATGCCAAAGTATAGTTCAACTTATTTAATTTGCCTTGCACAGATGATCATTGAATCTTAAATACATATATACGGTTATATACAGCATCAGAAAAGGTATTAATACAAATGAAAGCTATATATAAAATAAAAGAAATATATGAAATGTGTATAAGATAAATTAGTAAATATACAATAAATAAATAAATACACAGGGGGAAAAAATCGGAAATGACTCAATTGCAATAATGGCTTTAGTTACAGAACCTAATTTAGGTCTACTCTCATTGCATCAAATGCTTCTATTTACAATGTGTTTTTGCTGGCATCCATTGGTCTCTTATCAGTCTTGGCCAAAATCATTTAAATAGACTGACTAATCACTCTCCTCCAATAGCTGGTGGGTACGCTAGGACTCACTTTACATTATCTGGATGGATGATGCACACAGGTGGCAGTAGAGGAGATTCCTCCACTCTGTTGGAAAGTTTCTCTCCAGTGTGAGTTCTCATGTGAATTTTAAGGCTTTGTTTCACTGTGAAACTCTTTCCACATTCAGAGCAGATAAAAGGCTTCTCTCCAGTGTGAAATCTTTTGTGAATTTGAAGGTGTCCTTGTTGCACGAACCTCTTTCCACACTCAGAGCAGGTGAATGGCTTCTCTCCAGTGTGAATTCTCTTGTGTCTCTCAAGGCCTTGTTTCACTGTGAAACTCGTCATACAATAAGAGCAGGTGAAAGGCTTCTCTCCGGTGTGGATTTTCATGTGCCTCTCAAGGGTAATGTTCATCGTGAAACACTTTCCACACACAGAGCAGATGAAAGGCTTCTCTCCAGTATGAATTCGCATGTGGTTTTGAAGGTGTCCTTGCTGCATGAAACTTTTTCCACACTCAGAGCAGGTGAAATTCTTCTCTCCAATGTGAATTCTCTTGTGTCTCTTAAGGCCTTGTTTCACTGTGAAACTCTTTCCACACTCTAAGCAGGTGAAAGACTTCTCTCCGGTGTGAATGGTTATGTGACTTTTAAGTTGTCCGTGTTCTGTGAAGCTCTTTCCACACTGAGGGCAAGTGAAAGGCTTCTCTTCCGTGTGAATGCTCATGTGTCTCCTAAGGTTTCTGTTCACTGTGAAACTCTTTCCACACTCAGAGCAGGCGAAAGGCTTTTCTCCAGTGTGAATTCCCATGTGACTTTCAAGGTGTCCTTGTTCCATGAAACTCTTTCCACACTGGGTGCAGGTGAATGGTTTCTCTGCAGTGTGAATTCTCACGTGCCTCTTAAGGCTCCTGTTCACTGTAAAACTCTTTCCACACTCAGAACAGCTGAATGGTTTCTCTCCAGTGTGAATTCTCATATGAATATTAAGCTTTTGTTTCTCTCTGAAGCTTATCCCACACTCAGAGCAGCTGAAAGGCTTTTCTCCAGTGTGAATTCTCATGTGTCTCTCAAGGCCATGCTTCAGTGGGAAACTCTTCATACAGTATGGGCAGATGAAAGGCTTGTCTCCAGTATGAACGCTCATGTGAATTTGAAGTTGCCCTTGTTGAATGAAACTCTTCCCACACTGAAAGCAGCCGAAAGGCTTCTCTCCAGTGTGAATTCTCATGTGACTGTCAAGGGTACTCTTCACTGTGAAACAATTTCCACATTGAGTGCAAGTAAAAGGTTTCTCTCCAGTGTGAATTCTCATGTGACATTTCAACTGTCCTTGTTGTGTGAAACTCTTTCCACATTGAGGGCAAGTGAAAGGCTTCTCCCCAGTATGAATCCTCATGTGGATTATAAGTTGTCGTTGTTCCATGAAACTGCTTCCACACTCCGAGCAAGTATAAGGTTTCTCTCCAGTGTGAATTCTCATGTGATTCTCAAGGTGTTGTTTCACTGTGTAACGCTTTGCACACTGGGTACATCCGAAAGGTTTCTCTCCAGTGTGAATGCTCATGTGTCTCTTAAGGCTCCTGTTTACTCTAAAACTCTTTCCACATTGAGGGCAGTTGAAAGGTTTCTCTCCAGTGTGAATCCTCATGTGAATTTTAAGCTTTTGTTTCTCTATGAAACTCATCCCACACTCGGAGCAGGTGAAAGGCTTCTCCCCAGTGTGAATTCTCATGTGTCTCTCAAGGCTTTGTTTAAATGTGAAGCTCTTTCCACACTGAGGGCAGGTGAAAGGTTGCTCTCCAGTGTGATTTCTCAGGTGAATATTAAGCTTTTGTTTCTCTATGAAACTCATCCCACATTCAGAGCAGGAAAAAGGTTTCTCTCCAGTATGAATTCTGATGTGTCTCTCAAGGCTTTGTTTAAATATGAAAGTTTTTCCACACTGAGGGCAGATGAACGGCTTCTCTCCAGTGTGAATGCTCATGTGCTGCATAAGGTTTGCTTGTTGAATGAAATGCATCTCATGCTGATGGCATGCGACAGAATCTTCTTTCAGTTCCTTGAGATCTAAAATAAACATTAAAAGATCAATGTCAAAAATCACTTCATGGGCAATAATGTTGAGACAATAGCTGTACAGTAATGGTCGGTAATAGATGTGCACCCCAAACAATAAAGTAAAATTAACAGAATAAATATGTATACACTCTAACAAATGCTTGGTTGTTTCAACCCAACTTTGGGTCAAATATGGACTAACCCAACTTTTGGGTTAAAAATTTAATGTAAAAATTTAACCCAACGGTTGGGTTGAAACAACCCAGCATTTTTTTAGAGTCTAAGAACGTTTACATAGCTTGTGAATAAATTGTTTTATTGAACCAGATCGTCACTAAATAAGACTAGAGCTTGGGATGGGCATGAGTACATCAAGTAACTGAAGTAAGAAACTGTTTTAAATTGTTATTACATAACTATCTTGCATTCTTAAATCTGATTGGTCAAACATGGCTTCTGATATATTCATTGTTGTCCAAGGCAACTTGGCAGCATGTTTTCATGTCTCTCACATCACATTATGAACTGAAACTCCTTCGTTTCATACAAACGAAAATGAATATTTCAGTATTAATATTACTGTAATATAATTGCAGAGTTCATCTTGTTGTCGAGGAATGAGGACGGCAAATGAAGATTCATACTTCCAAATAGACTTTACTGAGAATACAGGTGTACAACCACACATAACACAATATAATAATTGACAAAGAACAGAACAGAATCAGGACTATAAATACACATGGTAAATGAGGGAACTAAACAGGAACAGCTGGACAAGGATGAACTAATCAGAAACCATGGTAACTAATGAGCGCTCATAACAGACATGACAGGAACTGAACTAAACTGAACATAATCGTGACACTTGTTGCTAGGTTGATTTTTTTATGTCACAGTGAAATATCTGTTCTTCTTAGCAGAAGTGTTAAGATCATGTACAGAAAGGATTATTAAATAATTTAAACGCAAATCAATATTTCATGCCCACCTGTTTATTTTTAATGTGAGCAGCCAGAGCAATGTAATACACAGGATAATGTACAGTTAGTTGATCAACATACTTTTTACACATATCATTTGTTGTGGTGCCATATTCAACAAAAATACATTTTAAAAAGTATTTTTCTTTTATGATATTGATGTTATATAATAATACAATATAATATTTAATGTGGTGTTATAATATTATTAGATTTTTTTTAAATTAGAACTTCAGTTTAGTTGAATCACTTTAGTAAAATTGAGCATTATGTGCATAGACATTTAATGATACTGCACATGATTTGTCAAAAAAAAAACATGGCCCACTTTACCTGATTTTGCACATTTCTCATGAGACTTCTCATTAGTTAATTTTACCAGCAAGAATTAATCATCTTAATTATCAAATTATCTAATCTAAAAATCGCATATTTTCTATTATGTTATTTTAAATATATACTTGGTCTATATATTCCCAGCTATTGCGGACACTTAAACATCTGGAGTAGCCTGACAATGTTTCTAATTCGGCATAAATCTTTTGATGTTCACCACTTTTCATTAGTCACGATCAACAATTAATAGAATAAACATAATCTTTTAACTTATTTGATTCATTGCAACTGACAATTAACCAACTTACACTGCCTTTTGTTCTTGCAATCTTGCATAGGTGAGGACTGGCAGGTTTTCTGCACATCTGGAGTCTCTGTGGTCTGATTGTTTTCATGCTGCTCCATCTTTATCACCAGGAAATGTTCGATGCCGCTCATTTCATCAGTCTCCATCAATCAGGTTTCGTTCACTCTATTCTCTAATAGCTGTTCTACAACCAAAACCGATTTGGTTTTAAATCACCGACTTGGCTTTCTCCTTAAATAAGGTTCCATTCGAATGCGAAGCGGTGGTGCGCGTGTCACACTGGTCCAGTCACGTGATTTCAGAACCGAGGCCTCGTTGCTGCGTCACACACTGGTCCGAAACGCTTCGACAGTTCGATGGTTCACCGCTAGGGGGCGATGCTCTGCTGTACCAGCCCTTTTACTCTGTATTCAAGATCTCTAGATCAGGGGTGCCCAGGTCTGTGTCTGGATTGAGTTAAAGATTGGAGAAGTATATATTGGGGACAAAAAAATGTAAGAACAAAGTAATAGGGAATGTATTAAAATGTAGGTTATTTTCAGATTTCAATACACCTACACAATTTGAAAATGAAATATTTAAAAACAAATTCTGTAATTATTGTAAATGGCCAATTCTACCTAAAATGAAGGATATTCAGTTTAGGATTATTAATAATGTGTATCCAGCTGCCGAAATTTTACGGAAAAGATTCCGTTTTGAAGTAGATCCTTGTGTTTTTTGTTTAGAAGAGCCTGAAACCATTGAACATTTATTTTTTTCTTGTCCAGTCACATTGAAGTTCTGGCAGGATCTTTACAGCTGGCTAAATATTGATATCAACACTGATATTCCATCACTAAATTTGTTTCAGGTTTTGGTTTATGCAGAAAAATATATCATTGATGTTAAACATTATTATTACAATGGGAAATATCATATACACAAAAGTAAGTGGAATAACAGTAAACCCTCTTTAAATCGCATGAATGTAAAAGATACTTAGAATCTTTAAAACACTTATCCAAAGATAATCAACCCCTTGGGAAATTGTATAAAACCATGTATGAGTCTTTTTCCTTCAAAGACTGGTAAGATTGTGTACCTTTTTTTTCCTTGCAACCCCCTGAAATGTTTAAAGAATGTTTGTTTTGTTTGTTGTTATTGTATGTAGAGATATATACACACACACGGACATTTATGTATGATGGAGATGTCATTGGAAACGTGTATATTTTGTCATATGCATTTTATTGTTCACCGTTTGAGTTTGTAAACTGATATTGTTCATTTAAAAAAAAGTCTGGAGATCTACCTACCTTCAGAGTTCAAATCAAACCCTCATCAAAAGCTGTTTGTAATTATCAAGCGCTTCTAAGGATCTTAATTAATTGGTGTGTTTAATCAGGGTTGGAGCTGTACTTTGCAGGAAGGTTGATCTCCAGAAACAGGATTGGGCACCCCTGCTCAAGATGAACCCATGTTTTAACTGATCTTGGTTTAGTTTTATAATTTAGGATGTAATGTGTAAGCATCCCAGGCAACACGTGAGATCATGCGATGGTCACAGTGACAACACACCATTCTCATAGTGTGATACTCACAGTGTGAGTAATATGTGAGCTCATTGTGAATTCAAAATGTTGAGCAGGTTGAGAGGAGGCAGTTCAGTTATCAGTCACCGAGGAGGCCAGGGGCGTAGCCATCATTTCAGAAGTGAGGGGGACAGAAATGTTTATATATATATATATAGC